GCACACGAGCTCCGGCTCCTTCCCCACCAGAGAAGTGACATTCCACGTCCCAAGAGCCAGCTTCAGCAGCCGAGGACTCACCAGCAGACAGCCACGACTCAGTTACACACATGAAATCCAATCCTCTGGATGTAAAGAAATCCTTCAGGATAAAAGTTTTGTTTGCTAGCGATCTAGTGTTTACCAAGCCAATCCTGGCGGGAACCAGCAGGTCAGCATTATTAGCCGTCCTGGAGCCGTCCCAAGACAGCCTTTTATTGATTACCTTTTAGTGATATTCTTGTTATTRGTCCAYTATTAAATTCCCTTTTGTCCAGAAAGCTATCATCCATAAAGTAGCTTTCACAAATCTATAAATAAATAATTGTTGTTGGAGGGTTACTTAAAAAATTAAATCAAACCATTTCTAAAGATCTGTGTCATCCATGGGAAGCTGAAATAGAGTTTAGTCTCCTTGGCATCTGAAAATGCATTTCCTTAAAGGCAATTTTTTAACCRAAAATGACTGGACTGAGAAGTATTACGAGCTCAGCAGATGCACATGAGCGGTTTCACCAGTGGTTTGCTAGTTGTTGCTGCTGGTAGCCTGCAGGAGTCGGGGTGCTCTGTGATGAGGAAGCTGGCTTGGAGACACAGCCCAGAGGAGGAGTTGCATCTAAAAGGAGGTTCTAGRACCAATAACCGTTTTTTGCTCCCCTGTCTGGCTGCCTCAGGACACCACAGGATTTCTCAAACATGCATGAATGAGTCAAAGCAAGACTCAGGGCATGTTTTTGATGAGGGGATAACGTTATAGCATGATTTATACGCCCTCTAGCGGGAAAAAGCGCAAAGCGTGCCCGAAAATCACGCCCATTTTCGCTCGAGCCGCCCGAGGGCGGTCGCCAAACGCGAGGGGGAACTGTTCACCCCCTCGGGCCTCGGTATAGAAGGGGAGAGGCGTTTTTAAAACGCCTCCCATCAAAGATGGGTCGGGTTAAAGCTCAAAAAAGTTTATTTTACTTTACATATTATCTTTAACAAGTTATTTACTACTTTTAGCTAATTTTCTGCTTATTTTATCTTTAGCCTTTACTATTTTGCTGATTTAGCTTTTAGCTAGCCTTTTGCTAATCTAGTTTTWSTTAGCATTTTGCTACTTTAATATTTGGCTATCCTTTGATACTTTTTCCTTTTAACTAGAATTCTTCTTTAAGCTGTAACAAGTCAGTTTCAGTTTCTCCAGCAACATTAAACAGTCATTCAATATTGTATTTTCACTGAAATTTCAGTTTCTCTAGTTTAATATAATTTGTAAAATAAACCTCAGATTCCAGCTTGAAGTTGAAAAGAGACAATAGATACAGGAGATCATTTTAACGGTYCAAATCATAAAGGTGCCATTGTTTCTTAAGAATTGCCAAAAAYCAGAGAGGAAATAAGTTGAAGGGGGAAAAAAAAGTTAGAAAGAAAACCCCGGCAGTGCGAGACCATGAGCTGTTTGGATTGGGAGGTTCAGGAACTGGCAGGAATGCGGAGAGCCCAAGTGAGCAACAGAGAAATATTTCTTCCAGTGAAGGCTGTTTTTTAAAGGAATGGGTTATTATAGTTGGCCGGTTAAAGCCCTTCAAATAGCCATGACATCATGGCTGGGCTCGGTGCTGCAGGGGACAAACAAAGGAGGGTTTGTACCCAGAGAACCCAAGAGAGCTTTGACGGTTTCAGRGGTTCTCGGAGGGAAGCCGAACGAGAGGGTTAGAAGTCACATCTGGTCTCTTTACCTGCCCCAATCAAACCCTGAGAGGGAATCAAGTGTGCCAAACTGCATCCAGGAAAAAAAGCCAACATTAGGCTGCAGTAAAACTGAAATCAAATTGAGCCACAGCAAATAAAAATACTTGTTAAAAAGGCTGTTAACTAGAGGTGCAACAAGTGGAATAATTTATTTTTAAATAAACATTTGCTAATCCCCTTTTTAAAACGTGTGAACATGTTAGAAACTCTGATAGTCAAATTTAGTGWATCATATAATCTTGTAGCCGAGTCTATCCTCCATAATCCAGCTGTTTAGTGTCTCTGCACAGATTGGCAGATATGGTTGAGGAACCTGATCTGTTTGGTTAATTCATCACTGCCTAACTGGAAAAGTCGGTGCTCATCAGGAAACATCGATTAGGTTTCACTCATTATAGTTTCTCTAAGCCTCGTATTAGCCTGGATGCATGATGTCAGTCAGTGACATAAACTGCACAGCTGTCTCCTCGAACCGGGCTTATAAAAACTGATCGTGTTACTTCCAAATGCTGCAGAACATGACCCGAGCATGCAACCTTTGCAGAGAAGCTCGTCAATAGACACTGGATTCACTGAGAGTCTGCAGCACTCTCCTGGACTGTTCTTTGTGTCAGGCTATAATAACTATTATAGTAACCTTGTCAGAACTTAAAAAATGTTGAAGTCATGCTTCTATTTATTATTATTATTATTTGCACAAATGAACAYTTCTTTTTCGTTTGGCTACATGTTTTGTGATCTCACCCCCCTGCTGTGTCAACAGATGACTCAAGTTCTGTTAAACCTGGACCAGCTAACGGAGCAGAGTCTGAGCCGGCCAGTGAGAAACTTGGTGAGAGCTCCACTGGAATGTTGTGGCAAACAGCAAGTTCTTAGTGGTTCTACATACTTCTAGTGTCTGTTATTTTGTCTCTTATAAAAAATAATTTATTGGGTTCTTTTAGTATTTATATATAAGACATGTATAGGTTTTGTAGTTTAAAGCAGGTGATTCTAAAACGCCACAGTAGATACAAAATTATACATTTAAGTAAGTCTGTAATTAGATTCATAGACTTTGTAGAGATTAAATTAAATAGTTTTTACTATACARCTTTATTTAAAGCTAGGAAAAATATMATTTCAAAAGCTAACTGCTAAATGACTTTGTTTAAAATTTGCTAAAGAAGTTGAAGAAGTTAAAAAGAAGCAAAATTTTACTTGAAAGCCAAAAGTAACAAAAGGCTAACTAAAGAACCGAAATAGTATCTAGATGCTAAAAAGAACAAAATGTTTGCTAAAAGTGGCAAAAACTTAATTAAAWATTTAAACAAGCAAAAAGCTAACTGAAATCAAAAAGTATCAAAAGTCTAACTAAAAGTTAAAAGTAGCAAAAGTCAATCTAAAAGCTAAGATTAAAAAAAGTCTAGCTGAAAATGACAGACCAGCTATTGCTTAAAGGGATCAAAGGTTAGCTAAACATATCAAACAGCTAGCTAGAGGCTAAAATGACAAAAGGCTAGCTAAAAGCTTAGACTTTGAAAAGACTAGCTAAATGTTTTGCTGAAGTAGCAAAACAGTAACTAAATGCAGAAAGGTAACCAAAAGATGTAAAGGTCTAGCTGAATGCTAATACCAGCTTAAAATGTTTTTCATTTTTCCATCACTTGAGAAATAATGAAGTACGTTTTATGAAAAGTAAACTATTTAAAGACATTCTTGTCATAAATAAACCTATTTTTTACATAAATGAACTCTGTACTTTCTGTAACAATTAAATTATTCTGTTTCTCTCTTCCAAAGAGCGTCCTCAGTTCACGCAGCCTGAAAAGATGAGAAAGAGGGTGATCGCCTGTCCCGTCGGCAGCACAGTGCGCCTCAAGTGTGCAGCTAACGGAACCCCTCGACCCGACATCGTGTGGCTGAAGGACGAGAGGCCGCTGACGGAGCAGGAGGTCGGCRAGGGCCGTAAAAAACGCTGGACTCTGACTCTGAAGAACGTGTTGCCAGAACACAGCGGAAAATACACCTGCAAGGTGTCCAACCGAGCGGGAGAGATCCACGCCTCGTATAAAGTCGAAGTCATCCGTGAGTATCGTACAGAGCTGTGGGTTTATTAGCGCTTACAGATGAGGTCAGACAAATTTAATCAGGTCAGTGCTGCTGTTCGTTAGGGTCGTGTTAGCTGTGTGTTCTACRTAGCTGCAGGAAATAAGAGAGTCAGATCATTTTTAACAGTAGGTTGAAAAATCGTCCCTCTGATCCACCTTCTCCTGAAGCCTGATTGCGATCAGCAGGTCCTGTTGCTTTGGGTGAATGTGCTTCAGTGTTCCTGCACACGAGAAGCATGCTGAGGAGGCAGGTCTGAAAGTGAGGGCTTGTGCCCGGGTGTTTGCACGGAGGTGGTGGGGGAAGAAGGAGCCAGGCTGTTCAGACCCAATCTGGAGTTGATTAAATCCCAGCTGTCTGCCAGACTCTCCGAGCCCCCCCTTCCCATRAGAAATGTGTGCTGTACAACCAGGAGCAAAGAAAGGGAGGAAGCTAATCACACATACTTCTTGTGTTACATGTGGTATTCATGCCTCTCTGTCAATTACAAGTTCAGAGCCTCCGGGTCAGTGTGGACAACAACTTCTGTCTGCAGAGGCGGTGTCGTCCCACAGGATGTCTGTGACAGTCTTTTCTTCTTCGTGTCTTCACAGAGAGGACGAACTCCAAGCCGGTTCTGACGGGCACGCACCCGCTCAACACCACGGTGGACTACGGAGGCTCCACGTCCTTCCAGTGCAAAGTGCGCAGCGACGTTAAGCCCGTCATTCAGTGGCTCAAACGCGTAGAGCCCCACGAGGAGAGCCGCTACAACTCCACCATCGAGGTGGGAGACCACAGGTTTGTGGTGCTGCCCACGGGGGAGGTGTGGTCGAGGCCCGACGGCTCCTACCTCAACAAGCTGCTCATTACTCGCGCCAAGGAGGAGGATGCTGGCATGTACATCTGCTTGGGTGCCAACACCATGGGCTACAGCTTCCGCAGTGCCTTCCTCACTGTACAGCCAGGTGAGACTTACTACAGGGAAAATATGAYGAGAAAGGTTTTTAATTAATCCACTGAACGCAGTTTTCCTTACTTTTAATGTTAAGTATATTTTGTGTTAATTTTTCATGAGCAAAAAGTTGTTTTTTATTTGCAGACACAAAGCCTCCCATCACCTCCTCGTACCCGACAGCCACCAGCTCCCTCCCCTGGCCCGTCATCATCGGCGTCCCCGCTGGAATCGTCTTCATCTTCGCCACCGTGCTGCTGTGGTTCTGCCAGAGCAGGAAGCACTGCCCRCCTCCCGGCGCTCCGACTGCACAGGCGCCGCAGAGCTCCCACCGCCACCGAGAGCGGGACAGGGCCTGCGCCGTCCCGTCGGCCGACTCGTCCAGCCCAGAAAAAGACCGCGTGAGTTCCTTGAACTACGAGGAGTACCTGGCCCAGCAGCAGCAGCTCCTCTTCAGCCAGGGAGGACCAACAGCTCCGCCTAAACTCTACCCTAAAATCTACACCGACATTCACACGCACACTCACTCGCACGTGGACGGGAAAGTGCACCAGCACCAACACATTCATTTTCAGTGTTAGCCTCGGTGCCAAACGATGGATGTTTGAGCTGTGGACTGAGTGACGCTCATGGGTTCATCGCTCAACAGAAACTGTTACTGGAAAACTGTGGAACAGACAGAGGCCAGTGTGTCATTATTTGGTGCTTCATTAAACCCTCTTGCCACTAAACATCTATCCTTGTTGTGCACTTAATACAAAAAGGATGTTTTTTTCAGATGGCGAGTGAAACATGAGCTGAGGTGTTTTTGCATTTTCTTAAACAGATGTTTAGCTCAGTGTAGCAGAAGGAAACGGTACTCAAGATTCACAAAAGGGCTGTTTTTTGTTGGTTTTTTTGCTCCTACTCAGGTCTTTGTGTTTGTTAATAAATGCTGACCACTATGTTACATTTCTCCATCCCACACTTATGTTTCTCATTAAAGGTGATGTAAAACGAACTAGTAACTTTTTTACGGCATGCAAACCTTGCCAAAGACTGCAAGGGATGGAAGAATTTTCCTTTTCCATGTTAACTGTATTTTTCTTTTTTTAATTTCTCACAAGTCAGTAGTGTTTCAAGATAAACCAGCAGATTTGTTTTGACCAACCATAGTTTATGAAGCTGTAGTCAGAATATTTAATTTATTTTCCTATTAAAAAATGTAAAGGTTTATTTTTCAGAGTACAACATTTTACATATCTAGGTAATGTTATTGAAATATATTGGTATTGTACATTTTGTTCATTTTTTCTGCGTTTACTTTCTGCCAGTATGTAGGTATTTCTGTTATTTGTTATATTTGACAATCTTGATGTAATCGGTTTAAAATAATTGAAGTTTAATGTTTGATTAAATGACCTGAAATAAGAGAAATATCCTGGGATTAATTTATTCTCATACCAAAACAGTTTGATATGTTTATTTGGGATTTCGCCCACCTCGTCTCATGGGACACTTTTCTTTTGAGCAGATTTAAGTGTCCGAGGGTGACACAGAGGGCAGCCAGCAGGGGGACAGAAGTGGTCGAGACAAAAGACTGAATAGACACCGTTCAGACACAAGAGTAAGTCTCAGTTGCTTTTTACATGAGTGATGTTCCCTCTGCAAGACTACACCGAACCATCAGCATCTTTCCCCCACAGTTAAGTGAATCGTGCCCTCTCTCTGCCCATTCACCTCCAATCTAGGCAGGATTTCCTTTCACCATTAGGAAGAGCATTGTCCCACTCCAGGACTGATGTGACAGGACCCTGTGATTGCTCAGAAAAGAAGGGGAGCTTTGTACCAGGTGAGCTTTTGTTTTGTTGCGAGCATTGTAGCTCAAAGATSAGCTTTAGCTTCAGACAGATGACAGTTGCGTGCAGCTGTCTCTGCATGTGAATCCTAAACTGATACAGAACCTAAATGTTGGAGGAACAGAGCTGTAATGTTACCTCCATATCCACAACTAATGCTTTAAAACACCAACAGGACCGTTCAATTAGTGCAGGGCTCTGCAACCTTTWCAATCAAGTTATTTTTGCTCCTTGGCTCACTAATAAAATGTGTCCAGAGCTGCCAAACAAGCTACAACTGTGAATAACTGGTGGTCTGTGGGCCTTTTTAAAAAGTTGTTGACTGGAATCTTTATGGACAGTGGAGGTGACATAATGAAACCAGAAAAATATTGTGAATTATTTTTACACATCAGGACAAATTAAGACCATATTCGTGTAAACAAGAGAARTACTGTAAATAGTTTAGACCGAATTTTATAAAAACTAGTACAACTGAACTATTCAGGTTTTTTCCCCTTAGTTCTTATTATGTAGTCTTCAAATTCTGATGGATTTGAGAGAAAGAAGTTGGATTATTTAAATAAACAGGCTAGCATGAGCAAACATGTTTTACTTTTTGTATTAGTAGTATTAATCAAGTATTTGCTTACAAATTAATTTGTTATGAATATAAAAAACAAAAAAACATTTTGTTTGTTTACATTTCATAAGAGCCACTTGCAGAGGGACCAAAGAACCACACGTTACAGACCCCTGAATTAGTGGAACCAAACACTGCCCTCTAGTGGTTAACAACCATAAACCCTAAGTGTAAATGAACCAAAAAATAAAAAAAAAATCTAAAATTTAAGGTCTTTATTTTAAACAGTAGTAAAAGGGGACATAAAACACAAAAATATAATACATGAGAAGAGGATCTAGAATGACAGTAAACCAGAAACAATTCAGCCCTTCTGAACGTTGGATATCAGTTCATCACAAAGTTTTGTGAGCTCTTCTGCTTCTTTTTCCTGAAAGGAAAAAAAAAAAAAACGTTTTCACACAGTTGCAAGATGTTTATGTCAGCTTATATAAAATGTGAAACAATAAATAAATTTAAATAAGTTAATTAACTGTTCCCTTACTTTCTGCTCCAGGTTCTTTTCCAGTGACTGAACCTTCAGCTGCTCTCGACGCAGCTGCACCTGAAGAGCCGATAGCTCACCTTTGTATTTAGATCGTACCTCAGCGATTTCTCCATTTGCCCTGGAAATAAATAAATAAATAAATCAGTTCTAAGTTTCCTCAGCTAAAACAAAAGCAGGGTCCAGAGTGATTTCTTACAGGCCAATTTTCTCCTCAGCATGAGCTTTTAGAGTCTGGTATCTCTGCTCCTCCTGCTTGATCCTTGCTAAGTACTCCTGTGCACAGTGCTTCAGAGTCTCTTCATTCTGGCAAAAGGACAGAGAGACACATTTATTTTACTCCTCTCAGTTTTCCTGATTAAGATGTATAGCAGAGTTTTTGGTCACCCAAACTGACCTTTTTGTAACCTTCAATAACAGTCTTGTACTTCTCCAGTCTTTTAAAAAGCTCGGCAAATGATTTCTCCAAGCTGTTCAGGTCGTTGGACACTTGCTCCTTCTCCAGCAGAGCAGCGTTGAGTTTCGCCTGGGCCAACTCCTTTTGCTTCTCGTGATCACCTAATTTATGCAAAAAAATAAATAAAAAAAAAAACCAAACAAGTTAAAATTTCCCTATAAACCAACTGTACAACGTATTGACATTAGTAACTCACTCATCATGTTTGCAATCACGAGCTCATATTCAGCAATTATTTTCCTGTGAAGAGAAAGATGAAAAATGTTAATATATTCAAGATGATGTAGTAGTAGTAGTAATAGTAGTAGTAGTAGTAGTAGTAGTAGTAATTTACCCACCTCAATTCCTGACCATCGTCCTGCAGCTTTTTAAATTTGGCACTCCACTGTTCCTCTTTTTCCTGGCCCTGTTTGAGAAAATGCATATTTTTAAAATTAAATGAGAGTAATCACTTCACTTTTTAAAAAGCAATTACTTAATAAAAATCTGCTTAAACAAATTTTTACTTTGTGCTTTTGTTAGTTGATTACATGAAAAATCTGGACAACAAAAATTTGTGTAAATCAAAAAGACTAAAAAAAGTTGTACTAAAATAGTTTTCTACAAGAGGCTGACAAACATTACTGATCAGATTAATGTGTTCTCTGTATTTCATCAGAAAATAAAACATTATTACTTRAATGTTTTGAGTTTATACTTTAAAAGAAATTTTCCAAACTCCTGAAGTCAGATCACAAAACACTGCAGAACGTACCTCTGCTTGCACTTTAGCGATGGCTGCATCCATGTCCTTCTGACTGTATTTCAGTACTTCAATTATAGCATCTTCAGTGTTTGAAGGTTGGGGGAAAGGAGGGATGATGCTTTCAATGATCAGAGCCTGAAGAGAAGAAGAAGTCAAAACAAGTCAGAAGTATTTGATTGCCCGGCTTCAAAATGGCAGACTTGGGAATTGTAGCTCAAGACTCGACTCACTGGGGTTGTTGTGTCCTCCAACAGTTTGAGACCATCTTTTTGAAAGTCTTTTGTCRTCTCTCTTTCTGCCGTTTGAAGAATTGCAAGTCTTGGAGGAAAGCAAGTTAGTTTTACAAGATATCCAAAGCAGAAAAAGCCCACAGCAGCAATCAGATTAAATGGAAACAGAAGTATATTTTACCGTGAGGCCAAGGCTGCGGGGGCAGCGACGTGCATCTGAGCAGCTGGGCCTGCTGACTTCTTCGGACTCTCTCTCAAGAGGGGATCAAATTTTAAATACAAGGATTGTTTACGAAGTGCAGACTCTTTAAACTGCAGGAAAAAAATTAAGTAAAATTTAAAAAACTGATGTAGTTCAGGCACTAACAACGTAAATATTCAGTTAGGACACACTAAGTACTTACACTGCTGGAGCCAAACTGTTCAAGGTAGTCAATCTGCCCATCGAAGTCATTGGCCATAACTAGAAGTGGAAAATGATTGATTACCACAATCGAATCATTCACAGACCAAATGAAAGCTGGGAGACAAACTGCTTACTCACATGTTGTTCCAGGAACAAACTCTTCATTGAGCTCAGACATTCCTGTTTGTGATTTCTGGTCGGGTTGCTCAGGAACATGCTGCATGAGTTGCTCACTTTTGTGCAGAATCTCTTTGTCAGGATCAGAAGCAACCTTGTGATCAGCAATCTACCATTTCAGAAGAAGTTTATATTCATTACAGAAAAGAAAAAAAAATAAAACAAGATGAGCTGAAAAGAAACTTTAACTGTTCCTGCTTACCACTTTGGAAGTGGGTTCAACAGTTRGCAAACTGTCTCCAGCACTACAGAGGGAAAAAAAAAAAATGTTTTCACTGACAACATTTACACTGGACTGTGAAATTTTATGTGCAAATACATAAAGATTTACTCACCCCTCTGGAGATCCAGCTTCCTTTTCATCAGGTTTGTCATTTTGCTCTGGAAGGTCTGTTTCCTTCAGCACAGGGTCGGGTTTGTCGCTGCACTTTGGAGAATTGGCCATGTTTGTATTGGTTCCAAAAGGATTGAAGTATGGGTCATCAAATTTCTCAGATTCGAGGCAGTAAGAGCCTTTAGAAAGGGGAATATCATCAACATCATCGGCAGTGGGCTTCACAGGAGCTTCTTTTGATGCTTTCACTTCAGATGTTGACTTTTCCTCTTTAGGTTTTGGAGCTGAAGGCCTTTTGCCAAACTTTTTGGGTGGTGGTTTTCGTTTGACGTCATCTCCATCCCCGAAGGTGAACTCAAGTTTGACTGATGCTCCTTGGACTGGAGCATCAGCAGGCTCGCATTCGGCTGCTGGAGGATTGGCTGTACCGTCATGTTCTGGGGCCACCGTAGTTATGGGCTCCACATCCTGGACAGGTAATTCTTCCACCACTTCAGGAGCCTCAACGTCCACAGGTTTGCTTTCTTCTGCAGGTGGATCATCATTTGATACCTTTTTCTCAGGAACAGGTGAATTTGGAATTTTAGAGCCGCCAGTCTGGAAAGGATTGATTGCATCAAGTTTGTCAAAATCCAAGTTGTAGCATCCTTTTGCAGTAAGTGGAGCTTCCTCCACAAAACTGCCAGATGTTTTGCCTTGATCAGTGCTTTCAGACGTGTTACTGGGTTGTTTCTCATCAGGTGTGGCCGAGGATGAATCTTCCACTGCCGGGACACTGGGCACGGTCACAGTGACGACACTGCTCTCTGTGGAGCTGATGTTGGAGAAGTCAGCGAGTGAGTTCTCCAGAGACGGGGTGAATGGAAGTGTGCCGTCTAGTGTTGGATCCATTTTGTTTGGCTCGTCCAGGGAGTTTTCTGGTTCAGGCTCAGTATTATTTGTAGGAGAACTCCTAACAGCAGGAACTACAGGAGAGAGGGCCATCTTATTTGAGCCCTGAAATGGATCGATAGCATCAATGTTGTCAAAATCCAACCGACAGCCACTGTTGCTTTGTATAGGCATGTTGTCATCAGGGTAAGAGGACATCTCTGTGGAAGAAAAAAACAAAACAAAAAAAAAAAACAAGGGGTTTCATCTAATTTATCTACAAAAAGTAAATGACCAAAACACTAAAAGTGAAATTAATTACCTTTTTTGTACTCAGCAGGTTCCTGTGGCACAGTACTGCAAAAATAAAAAGATATGTTATTTTAAAATACAAGTTTCTTTAATTAATAAAAACGTTTTAGAAGTATACGATATTTACTCTGACTTCTCCAACTGTAAGCCCTCCATTGCTTTAGTGCACTCATCCAAGCTTGACAAGTTGACAGACTTGCTGGGGGACATAATTCTTTTAGTTACAGGGTCTCTCCTTGGGGTCTGAAAACAAACCTAAAAACACCAATTAAATCAGTAAATTTGGTAAATGATAAGTTAATTATTTTAAAAATAAATTGAAGACAGCAATTTAAATTAAGAATTTTAAGCTAAAACATGTCTGAGTCAAAGAAATTGTAAAAATTGCATCTCAGTGTCAAGGTGAACCAAACTAAAATTTATCAAAAGCTACCTTTATCCCCTTTGCCACAGTCCTGTTAGGAAGGTTCTCCGTCTGCCGCAGGATAGATGGCCTCCCAGTGGGCTGATCCAGGGCAAATATATCTTGACTTAAACCAGTGTGCTTTCCTGTTGGGACGACCCCACAGTTCTCATCATTCACCTCGACAGAACTCATCCTGTAAAAAAATAAAGAAACATGAAGTTACTGGGCAGGGGCAGATCAGCTGACCACAAAGCAAGCTGCACTCAGCAGATAAGACCGTTCTCATCAGGCTCTAGTGACACATTTTACNTATAGATTTTATGTAACACTGTATCTCAATTATAGTGTGTAATAGTGTGACTTTGGTAGCAATATGTTGTCCAACACATATAAAATTAGCAACAAAATAAAAAGGACAGATTTGCTCACTTGCAAATTGCAGTCTTTAGCACACAATTTTAAGTAATAATAAAATGCAAGACAAACAACCTACAGCCGAAAAAGAAAAAAATACAATAAAACTGAAAAAAGGAGTGACTTTATGCATTAGTGATAATATTAGTCTGTTACAGGTCTGTACAGTGGTTATTTTCAGAGCAGCTGTTTGCCAGTAAATAAAAAAGGAAAAAAAGGAGCGTTTGCAAAATTTGACCACGAGATGACGCAAAAGAGCACCAAAAACTGCTTGACAAATAAATGACACTGATTTTGAATGTTTTGTGTCCGAGATAAACAATTTAAAAAAATTAATCCACTTACTTGAATAGAACGACCTACAGATATACACACGATAAAACTCAAGCAGCATGGTGGGAACAAACAGCCACTTGCTAGCTTATCCGTTAGCTTTAGCGTCTCGTGAAAGAGAAAAATACTTAGCTATAGACGTCGTACACAATCAGTAACTGCACGCAGTCGTAGTTTGTTTTCTTGAAAATACAAGTTGACTAAATACGAGGTGCTAAAACGGTTGCCTACCAAAAATACGTGATACGCGACACGGCTGTTGTTTTTTTACACCCAAAGTTGGCTGAAACAAACGTGCGTAAGCGAACAAAACAATCATTGCAGCTTCGTTAACAAACATGAATCAGCTTAACAGCAAACCGGAAACAAACGTTGGATGACACGGTTAATTACAGAGAAAAAACCATCTACCTACCTCAACATACAAGGAATTCTTGGCTAAAAACGATAATGTCTGTCGCCGAAGCATCCAACACCACGGTGAGTAGAAATGCTTTTTGAAAAACCCCTCCGCACTGAAGTCAGCCGACTGGAAGGCAACCGTTTGGAATTTAAAGTCTCAAAACGCACCAATTAAATAGACGGAAACGTTCAAACGAAACGCGATTCCGTGTTGAACAGCCAATCACAATCAAGAGCGGAAATGAGCCAACCGAAGAGTTAGCCAAAGATGACAGATACTTCAAGATAGTACAGTTGTTGTGCGTCTTTGTTTGGTTTCGCTAAATAAATTTACTTGAACTTTTGAACGTACTTATACGGAAGCGTGTTGCTATCAGGCAGGGAAAATTTTTTTCCCTGCCTGATAGCAACACGCTTCCGTATACTTACTAATTATTATACATTACATTAAAGGTGTAGAAACATTATATTGCGATTTTGTTCTCAAACGTCATTCGTTGCAAATGCAATCTGCAATAGATGAGGTGGGAAAACGGAGCTTGAAGTGGGGATTTAAATTATCAGTGGCAAAAACACAAGTCAGCTGCTTTTCAAGAAAACAAAAATTACATCTTATTACCCTAAAACTGTATAATCAAACGTTAGAGCAAGTTAAAATAGTAAGACTCCTTGGAACGTTATTTGATGAAAAACTTACATGGAATGGTCATTTAGATAAAATCTTAGATAAATGTCAAAAGATCCTTAATATTACTTGATGTTTGGCAGGACAGGATTGGGGTGCAAGCAGAACATCTTTATGCAATATTTATTTGGCTCTTATGAGATCATTATGATTATGATTGTATAGCTTATACGTCAGCAGCAGAAACAAATCTTAAGAAGTTAGATAAGATACAAGCTCAAGCCTTAAGAATAATYAGTGGATCATTCCGAACATCATCGGGTTCGTTTATGTAAATAGAAATGGGAGAATGTCCTTTAAGAATCAGAAGAGTTAAATTAATGCTGGCATATTGGGTTAACTTGCAGGGACATGAAAGAAATCATCCAACCAAAAGTATTTTAACAGATTGCTGGGAACATAATGAAACTAATGTTATAAGCTTTTTGGGTGATGCAAAAGCAACAAGTGTTGGATTAAGTCAACTTCAGTATAGTCCTACTGTTGCACCGTCCCCAATTCCTCCATGGTTATTCCCATCACCAAAGGTAGATTTAAGTATACATGAGAAATTAAAAAAGAAATCAGAACAATGTAGTATAGTTCAGAAATATTGTGAGCAACATTAATGATGTTTTTATTTTTACTGACGGTTATAAAGATCCTGAGACAGGTCGAGCAGGTTCAGCAGTTTATATTCCAACTAATGACATCTGTATTAAGAGGAAAATTTCAGATCATTTATCAGAATACACCACAGAAATTATAGCAATATTTTTGGCTCGGCAGTGGATAGAGGAAAATGGAAAACAAAACAGTAATAGCCTCTGACAGCATTTCAGCACTCAGTAGTATTACAAAAGGTAAATCATCAAGCAGAACTGATATCATTAATGAAATACAGTATGTGTAACAATGTACGGAACAGAATTTAAGGGTGTAAAGATTCAATTACTTTGGGWTYCAGCACAWGTAGGTGTAGAAGGAAATGAAGTTGCAKACACTCTAGCAAAACAGGTTTTAAAGAGAAAAAATCCATAGAACTAAAAGTCTCATTGAGTAAATCTGAAATTAAGCCATTCATTAGGAAATACACACAAACAGCATGGCAAGATTACTGTGATTTACAAGAAACTGGTAGACATTTATACAGTATAAAAACATGTGGGTTTAGGAAGGAAAACAAGATGGAATAGGAAAGAAGAAAATGTCTTTACTCGACGTAGAATAGGACACTCAGGTTTAAACAGTACTCTATATAAAACAGGTAAACATCCAACAGGAAAATGTTCATACTGTAATCAGTCAGAGACAGTGGATCATGTATTGATTCATTGTAACAAATACATCAATCACAGGGATAATCTTTTTAGGTCATTAAGTAAAGAAAAAACAGCAGAATTTTACATTATCTGTGCTTTTGAAGGATAAATCTGCCAGCATATTCAGTAAGATAATTTCATTTTTGAAGTCAACAGGTTTATGTAGTCGAATATAGATTTTTTTTTTTTCCCTTCTTGCCTGCCTTCTCCAGTTCCACCATCCAGTCCAGTAGTGGCTGTAATGCACTAAAACAGTCTGCCAACCGCCATTAACACAAAAGAAGAAGAAGGAGAATACGACGACGTCATACCTAAACTTACCAGTAGATGGCAGTACTGATCCGCTAACCTGGTTGTCTACCGGCAGAAAAGGCTGACGAGTGAGTCGACAAAAAAAGAAGAAGAAGAAGAAGAAGAAGAAGAAAAAAAAGGAATTAAAGGAGCAGACCCAGCCCGCCAATTTCAAAGAACGTAAACAGTGTTCCTTGAGCTTCGTCATGATTTAAACAAAATGTAAAACATCTCGTATCGATTACGACTTTCTTCCATGATGAACTCTAACGGAAAAGGTAAACGCTAGACAAGCTACTGTTTGTGTAGCCAACTAACGTCAAACTTGACGCCAAGTGTCGCCGTTGTTGTGTTTAACACATCGTTTCTGTGTTTCTAATTGTGAATTTAAGACGTTCGAGTAACCTTGTCCCAGGAACGATGCTTGGATTTAGTGCTATTTTAGTTAGCCCAAAGTTAGGATGCTGGATAAAAAAATCAAATGTAAATTTTTTAGCTTCAGTATACGTCTTAACAATTGTATCATGTTCACAGGAAATGGGGACTCGACCATTCTTGCAGCCAGGTAATTTATATCTTTATTACAACCCTTTAAGTTCACGAAAACTCCTCTTTTGTTGCTGCTAAAAGTGCGAAAAGTAACCTTAAAGCTTAGCTGGCGCCCTCAGTCTCTTTCCTGGATTAGACCAGCTGTAATCTGGATGATGCATGTTCTTTTTACATTGTGAAGTTTTGTCTCAGGTTTATAGCTGGGATTGAAATGATCACCTACTTGTACTTTTTCTTGACATCTTGTGTTAATTAAATTTTCTTCTCTGGTAGTGGTGACAGTGACTCCATTAAAGTTTTCGTCCGGGTTCGACCGCTGACCCAGGGCACAGGGCTGACCACAGATGGAGAACAGAATCTGTGTCTGTCGGTCACCTCGTCCAACACCATCCGTCTGCACTCAAAACCAGAACCCCGGACCTTCACTTATGATCATGTTGCTGATATGGACACATCTCAGGTTTTTGAACACACATTGTTATTGAGATACCTGTTACACTATAACTATATAGTTTTATATATTTGAAAACCGGTGTCTGTTATTGTGTAATCTCAATCTTTTGTTCAACAGGATTCTGTATTCAGCAGTGTCGCCAAGAACATTGTGGAGTCCTGTATGAATGGATATAATGGTACAATATTTGCTTAGTAAGTGTTTATTTATTTGATATTAAAGAAATTTACAGTTTTGCCATTTTTGATGCACCAATTAAGCTCCTGTCTTTGTTCCTGCAGTGGACAAACGGGCTCAGGAAAAACATTTACTATGCTTGGTAAGATTTCAGGGATGCTATTCATGTTTTATTCAAGAAATTCAAAGAGCGTATTTTCAAGAAACAAAAAGTCATATATTTTCCTCTCTTGTTTTAGGACCATCTGAGATGGATAACTTCACAGACGACCTGAGGGGAGTCATTCCACGAAGTTTCGAGTACTTGTTTTTTCTAATCAACAGGGAAGTGGAGAGGGTAAGCGGTGATGTTTTTAATCTTTGCAAAGATGTTTCGAATCCACATTACTTTGTTTTTTTTTAATAAATCTGATGCATCTTTTTTTTAACAGTCTGACAAGTCCAAGAGTTTCCTTTGCAAGTGTTCATTCATTGAGATATACAATGAACAAATCTATGACCTCCTGGACACGGCTTCCGCCAGCCTTTTTCTTCGGGAAAACATTAAGAAAGGCGTGTTTGTTGAAGGAGCTGTGGAGAAGTTTGTGAACTCAGCAGCCGAGGCCTACAAGGTGTACATTAATCTATAATAACTTGTAGCAGATTTTGTACCTACTTGAAGTTTTGGTTATTGTCACATCTGACTATTTAGAATTGATTATAGTAAATTGTTTATTTGAGAAAAACTTGGTTTTGCACTGGAGATAATTCTTTGGCATTTATAATGGTGTAGGTGCTGTCTATGGGCTGGCGTAATCGGCGCGTGGCCTCCACCTCCATGAACCGCGAGTCTTCAAGATCTCACGCTGTGTTCACCATGACGCTGGAGTCCAAGGAGTTTGTCAACGATCTGGTGAACATCCGAATGTCTCAGCTGAACCTGGTTGATCTGGCAGGATCTGAGCGACAGAAAGACACMCACACAGAGGGATCAAGACTCAAGGTAAGGTTTTACCAGAGCGCTGCTGTCTTTGTGATTTTATTTTCCCTGCTTTATAACCGTTGCTGTTGACTTCACTTGCCTCGCAGGAAGCCAGCAGTATCAATCGCTCCCTCATGTGTCTGGGTCAGGTGATCATGGCACTGGTGGATTTATCTAACGGGAAGCACCGCCACGTTTGCTACAGAGATTCCAAACTCACCTTCTTGCTCAGGGTAAATGGCTGCAGATGCAAAAGGCACTTTAGAGCAGTTTAAACTRGAGATGAAATCAAATAAACGTGTCACAGTTTGTGCAGAGTCCGTGACACGCATTTAAAGCTGTTTCTTGTTTTTTCAGGACTCACTTGGAGGAAATGCAAAGACTTACATCATAGCTAATGTGCATCCTGGTTCAAAGTGTTTTGGAGAAACATTGTCCACCTTGCATTTTGCCCAAAGAGCAAAGTTAATCAAGAATAAGGTATATTTTATATCTAAACCTTTCAGATTAAAGGTTTATTGGTTAATGTAATACAACTCTTATTTCTTGATGTTATTTTAGGCTGTGATCAACGAGGACACGCAGGGAAATGTGAAGCAGCTGCAGGCTGAGGTGAGGAAGCTGAAGGAGCAGCTTGCTCAGGCGTTGGTCTCTCAGCGAGTGGACTTTGATAGAGACGCTGCACCAGGAGGACCTGAGCCCCCCATAGGTAAACAGATCAACATATAATGCCAAAACTCATTCATTTTTATCAATCCAATATCCTCTTTAAACTGTTGACTCAAAAATAAGTCGATCTTTGGTTATGATTCATCTCCCAGGTCCAGCCACTGAGCATCCGGATGATGTTTCATTTAAAGCAAAGTTTATGAGGGCTGTTCGTCTGTGGAAGAAGCAAGAGGGGGAGAAGACGGTGAAGAAATGAGAATTTATTATAGAAAAGGATTTGGTTGTAAGAAATCAAGTTTATGGAAGCTTTGTTTCTGTGCCCTCAGCTGCTGCTGAAGAAGGTGGCTCAGCTCGAGGAGGCCTGGACACAGAAAGACAAGTTCATCCACTCCAGCAGAATGATCATCCGGTTTCGAGAAGAGCACATCTCTCGTCTTGAGAAAAAACTGAAGGCGGGACAARGCGCTGTGTCAGATACAGAGTCTCAGGCTTTAATTGACCAGCTGAAAAAAGAGATAAAGATACTGAGTGATCAGGTAATGCAGTGGAAATGCTTCTATTCTTTTTATTTAATCCACATTTGAAAACTATCTGCAAAATATGCAGAAATATTAAAGGATCGAGGTCCTATTGTTCCAATGCCATAACATCCATAAGACTTTTTATTCCATTTGCTGAAAGAGGCTCTAATATGTGACCCATCACATTGAAACGAGGATTAAGTCTAAAAGTGGTTTTTTGGAGAAATAGGCAAAAATACTGTTTTGATTAAAACACTTACAAAAATTGCATTTTGTCAAAATATATCAAATAAATGTCTTATTAATGTTCCATTTAAATGAACTGTGTGA